TTTGCTCACAGTTAAAAATGAAAGTGGGAAATAGACCCACCCTGGAAGTGGGGTTGCCCGCGTACTGGACGGGTTCGTTTCTGTGGGCTACTGGGGGCTTTTGCCCGAAAGCATCTTGTCAAAATATTTTTTGGGTTTCCAACACTTAGCTATATATTTCTTTTCAAATAGTATTTAGTTTTTGATTTTTTATTTTTATTTGGTTTAACTTTTTTATTATTTTTTTTTTAAAAAATTTTGGGGTTTAAATTTACAACTTTTTTTCAAAGACAAAGTTAAACAATAATCCCCCTCCCGGGTCCGAATTGTTTTCTTGATTTTCAAAATTTTCATAATTTTTTTTTTCTTTTCCCCCCCCCCCTCCATTCCCCCCCAAAAAAATTTTTTTAAAAATTACCCCCAGGGGGAAATTTTTCCCCCCCTTTTTGGGGAACCATTTTGGCGTGCCCAAAACTCAATTTTTGAGTTACCACTGAAAAAAGACTGGATGAATGCAAAGAGGTATGACAAAGGTCATCCCACTTTAAGGGTGGGGGGGGTGAGTGGGGGGTTTGGGGTGGTGGGGGGGTGTTTTTGTGTGTGGGGGGTGTGAGTGTTGGGTGGGTGGGGGGGGGTTGAGTGTTTTGTGGGGGGGTGTGGGGTGTGTGGGGGGGGGGTGTGGGGAGGGGTGTGATTTGTGTGGGGGGGGTGAGTGTGGGGGGGGTGAGTTTTGTTGGGGGGGGGTGTGGGGGTGTTGGGGGGGGTGGTGGTGGGGGTGAGGTGTGTGTGGGGGAGGGGTTGTTTTTTGGGGGGGGTTGGGGTTTGTGTGTGGGGGGGGGTGTGGTGTGTTTTGTGGGGGGGGTGGTGGGGTGTGTGGGGGTGTGGTGTGTGGGGTGGGGGTGGGGGTGTGTGGGGGGGGGGGGGGGGGGTTTTGGGGTGTTTTGTGGGGTGTGTTTTGGGGGTGTGTGTGGGGTGTGTGTGGGGGGGGGGGGCCCCGTGGGGGGTGCGGGGTGTGGGGGTGGGGGGGTGGTTTTGTGGGGTGTGTTTTGTGTGTTTTGTGTGTGTGTGGGGTGTGTTGTGGGGGGGGTGTGTGTGGGGGGGTGTGTGTGGTGGGTGTGTGGGGGGTTTGGGTGTGTGGGGGGTGAGGTGTGTGTGGGGTGTGTGGGTGTTGGGTTGTGTGGGGTTTGTGGGGGGTTGTGTGGGGTGTTTGGGGTTGGGGGTTTGTGTGTGGAGTGGGTTTTGGGGTTGTGTGTTTTTGTGGGGTGTGGTGTTTTTGGTGTGGGGTTGTGGGGGGTGTGTGTGTTGGTGTGTGTTGGGGGGGGGTGTGTGTGTGGGGGGGTGTGTGTGTGTGGGGTGTGTTGTGTGGGGTTTTGTGGTGGGGGTGGGGGGTTTGTGTGTGTTGGGGTGTGTGTGTGTGGGGGTGGTGTGTGGGGTGTGGGGTTTTTGTGGGGGTTGGGTGTGTGTGGGGGAAAAGTTGGGGGGTAAGGGGGGGGTAAGTGTTGGTGTTTTGGGGAAAAGTGTGTGGTGTGGTGGGGGGTGTGTGTGGGTGTGTGTGGTGTGTGGGGTGTGTGGGGTGTGGTGTGTGTGTGTGTGTGTGTTGTGGGTGGTGTGTGTGTGGGGGGTGGTGTGTGTGTGGGGGGTGTTGTGTGTGGGGTTGTGTGTGTGGGGTGTGTGGGGGGTGTGTGGGTGGGGGGTGTGTGGGGGGGTGTGTGTGGTGTGGGGGTGTGTGTGTGGTGTGTGGTGTGGGTGGGGTTTGGGGTGTGGTGTGTGTGTGTTGTGTGTGTGGGTGGTGTGGTGTGTGTGTGGTGTTTGTGTGGTTGTGTGTGTGTGGGGGGTTGTGTGTGGTGTGTGTGTGGTTTTTTGGGGTTTTGTGTTGTGGGTGTGTGTTTTTGGGTTTGGATTTGGCGCGCGCACGTGCGGGGGGGGTTTTTTTTTTTAAAACTGGTTGTCCCCCAAGGGGAAGTTGGGGTGAAAAAAAAAAAATCACCATCATCCATTAAATTCTTTGCCTTGGAATGTCTGAAAACCACAGTGCAAAGGACCCTCAGAACTAAAAACCCCCAAAACCCCTTCTTCGGTATTGGCTCTGTACTTCTCCCCAAACAGGACCCCCTTGCAAAATGGTTTTTCCTTCATATTCCCTTGCCGGGACTCCAACAAAATTCAATTCAAAAAAACAACTCTTCTTCGCTTTAAATCAAAAGTTTTTTTATACGACCCCTTTTGGGAGGTTACCCCCTCCTAGCACCCTGAACCCCCTTTTTACCCCCCTCCCCCCCAACCCTTTTCCTTGGACAACCCCAAAACCCCTTTAATTTCCTCAAACCCCAAAATTTTTAAAATATCCTTCTATTTATCCTTTTTTTGTTCCCTCCTTTAAAAAATTCCCGGCAGCCTCCAGCCTCCCCTTACTCCCAATTTTTAAAACCCATGCTTTCCAAAACCTATAAAACAGCAATGGTATCACAATACTTTTGTTTCTTTAAGTGGCCCCGGTTTTTTCCATCCGGCTTGGATTTTCGAACTTTTTGGATTTAGACCATTTTTTTTGGGCGAAATTTTACCCCGGGGGTTTGTGTACCCCCCCACTCGAAATTTTCCCAATCAGACTGTTTCCCCTCCTGGGACGTGGTGTCACATTTTTGTGGACTCGTTTGCCTTTCCCTGTAAACTTGTCTAATGGGGCAAATACTCCGCCCCCCATTCATCCGAAAACTTGGTGTATTTTTATGGGGGGTTAGGGGGGGGTAGTGATGGTTTGGGGGTGGGTTTTTAAGTGTGGTGGTAGAGGGGGTTGGTAGTGATGGGGGTGGGAAGGGTGGTAGTGGGTTTGGGTTGAGGGTGGTAGTGTTTGGAAAACAATAAAAGAAGTTGAAAAAGTTGTTGGTGTGGTTCAACAAAAAAACATTTTAGCAGGGATAGGGGGTTTTGGAGGTGTTTTAAATTTGAAAAAAGGGCCCAAGGCAATTGCATGCGGTTTTCTCGTAAAAAATTATCCCAAAACCAAAAATCTTAAATAAAAATGAAAAGTTAAATGTTCATTTATAAATTTAAAAAATTAGTGTTTAAAATTTATTTCTCATTTTTTTTTTTTTATGAAAAATTTTTGTTTTTCCCTCTATAAAATGTATTTTTTTTTTTTAAAAAATTTTTTTGGTTTCCCTTGGAACACAAAAAAATTTAAAATTTACATATTTCTTAGGGGAAAATTATTACTTGGGGTTGTCTTTCCATTTCAATTTAAAACCGACCTTTTTGAAGGGATTAAGGACAAAAAAACCAGGGTTTTCCACTGCCCCTTTTTTTTTTGGCATCTATGGATAACAGTCTCCATAAAGTTTAAATGCCCCAACCCCCTACCCACTTTTTCCCCCCCCAAACTCCCCCTTAAACCCCTTTTTTTCCCAGTGGATCCATTTTTCAGAACCCACCCAAAAAGCCATTCCCAAATACGGGGGGAAACCCCAGGTTTCGAACTTTCTTTTGTTCCAAAAAGGCTGTTCGAGTGCCTTTTTACCAAACAAATTTTTTTCCCTAAGGAATAATGTAAATTGATTAGCCCCTTTTTAAGATCCCCCCAAAAAAATCCCAAAAAACCAAAGCACTTACAACAATACATTTAACATAACGGGTCAATTGGGAGCATTTCAAAACCTTTTTGAAACGTTTCATTTTCCCCCCTAAATCGTTTCATAAATTTCCCTTTGGGCTCCCCTTTTCCAAATGTGCTCACGTTTGGTTTCCCCAAAATTCTAAGGGCCCCCCCTAGTATTTGAACCCCTGCAACATTCCTGGGACAACCCCCTGCCCCTCCTCCCCCCCCCAATTTATAAAACCCTCTTGCACCCCTGTAATGTAATAGAAAATTCCAGCACAGTTTTTTTTAAACACCTACTATTTTAAAAAACGCCTCTAAAAACACCACAATTCTTTTTTTTTAAACCTTCACTAAATTCACAAATCTTAAGAAAGCAGATTTTACAAAAACAATATAAAGTACAGTAAAATATTTTAAAAATAGCAATGTTTTAAATTACTGTTACAAAAAAAAAATTTTCTAGTTAATACTGTCCATAAAAAAAATAACTCAACTTATGGGGATTGCCCTTTTAAAAAGGTTTTTGGCAAAAATATAAAAATTTAAAGGGGGATTTGGTTGGTAGACAGAAAACTACCAGGGAGGTCTACCGCCTCCCAACTGGGTGTGCACTGAAATTTTTAAAATGTTTTAAAGGGTGGGTTTGCTGGTATCTTTCTGTCTCAAACTGCGGGTTAATAGGTATATCTTGCTACTTTTTTTTGTATTTAAAGTCACACTACCATGCGGGTAAAACACATCTATTTTTACACCCCATCTGGGTTTTCTCAAAATTTTCTTAATTATTATTATTATTTTTTTTTTCCCTCTAACCCCAGGGGAAAAGGAAAAAAAAATTCTTCCTCTGTAACCCCAGGGAGTTCGTAAGAGAACTAAAAGGGCCAGGAGCAAGAGGCTGGTAACCCCTTTCCTGAAAAAAATTACAAATTTTACAGGGCACCCTGGGCCCCCCCCGGTGGGGTACAGCTGGTTAGTTGAAAAAAAAATTTTATTAAACATCTTTAATTCTCTTTATTTTTGGGGGTTGATTACCCAAAAACTAAGCACTTACCTTTAAGAGACACGTAAACCTTTAAATAAATACTGATACAACAGCTTTAAATTTAAATAAAATTTTTTCTTTTTGTATATGAAAAGCTGGGTACTAAAGAATACACAGGCAAAATGCTGAAATACTTAAAAAAAAGACAAAAGAGCAAGCTTTTATTGAGACATCTGAATTGAGCTCTACAAAGCCAAAAATTTTAGGGTTGGGGGAAAACTTACTCTGCACTTTTTTTTCTTCAATTTAAGGTAATACTAGCATTCAGAAATTTAAAAAAATTTTAAATTTTTTAAAACCCCCACCAAGGATAAAAAAAAAAAAAGGGGGAAGAGTTTTTACTGGGCTGAAAGGGAAACCCAGGGGGGTCGAGGGGGGAAAGATTTTCTCCTGTGCGCTATTGAAAGGAAATAAAACCCGATTGAAAAAAAAAAAAAAAGGGAAAAGGGATCAAGACAGATAAAATTCCTGAAACCAACTGAACTGATCTGAGAAAATTTTTAAAAACCAGGCCGACCAAAAATCTTGTCCATTACAATTCACTACAGTACGGGAAAATAAATTTTTAAACATGCAAAAAATTTTTGCTTATCAAATCAATGCACCAAGATCTTTAACATGACTTTTAAAAAAAAAAATAAGTGCCCCTTTTAAACAAAAAAATTTAATGTATGAAAAAAACAAGTTTTTAGGAACCCAAAAATTTTCTATATCAGACCCTTTTTTATTGAAGATAATTTTCAAATTTTAAATTTTTTTTTTTGTGTCTTTTATAATTTTGTGGTTTTTTAGTACTAAAAAAACCCAAAATAATTTATGTTGTCATTTAAACTATAAAAAAGAAACTATCATACACATTGCACTAAGATTTGCTAGGTGTTATTTTTCAAGAAAACTTGACTACAGCAAGCTTTTTCGGGTTTAAAAAACCCAACATAAATGCAAATTTTAAAATTGATATAGGGGATTTTTTAAAATCAAACATACCCCGTTAAAAAGCTGCCCTGGAAAAAATGGGTGCTGTTTAAAAATAAAATAAACCCAACCCAAAGCAAAAAAATCCAGCGGTCAAATTGCAAATTTTTAAATGTAAAACTGTGGAAAATAAAGTTACACTTTTTTAAAAACGGTTTTTATCTCAGTACTTCAAAGAGCTCTTTTTCCTTTTCAGATCAAATTTAAAAAAAAAAATTTTAAATTTTTAAAGTCCCTTTTAAGTACAGCCACAAATTAAAAAAAAAATACCACCAGGATATTTGATTTAATACTCTTGATTTTTTCTTCCAGTGGGAAAATATCCTTTTTGGAGTAAATAGCATTAAAAAAAAGGGTTTAATTTTGCTCATAAATATTATACAGAGATTTTTAAAAGTTAAAAAAAATACCTTTAAATTTTCATCATAAAAAAATGCATCATTTAAAATTTTTTTAAAAAAATAGCGACAAAAATTTAAAAAAGACAAATATTCAACACTAGTATATTTGAAGAAGTCCCCACCCAAACAGTGGTTTATTAATTCAATTCCGAGGCAAAATTTTAATGTTTTGAAAGTTGAGACAGTAAAAATTTTAGATAATCAAAACCCTCAGCCTTGCAGAACATCACAGAAAAAAGTGAAAGGTCAAGTCATAAGTCCCCCTGCCTGGGGAAACCAGCAAGGGGCCCCGAAAAAGATTCTAGTTAGGTAATTTTTTGCTGCCCATTTCTGGGGATTTTTCAAAACCTTTAAAGGGGCTGAAAACCATTCCCGGGGTGTGGACGGGAAAACTTTAACTTTTACCTTTTCGAGTTTCCCACCTTAAAAATTTACCTCTGCCTGAATTGATAAGGCCCTTTTTTTGGCCCAAAATTTTGAAAGGTACCCAGTTATTTCAAATGTCTAATTTCCCCAAAATAAAATTTTTCAGATGCTAAGTTTCCCGTAAAAAGGTTTTAGATGAAAAATTTTTTGTATAGCAATTTTTTCGCCCAGTTTGAAGATGAATTTTAAAAAGGGAAAAAAAAATTTTCCCAGTGTCACTTGAACCCCAAACCCCGGGAGCATGCGAAAAAACTAATACCGTATTTCAAAATTTTTTTTTTCTAGCACTTTAGGTTCACTTGGGCCCAAAAAAAATTAAAAAAGCTAAAGGTTTTTGTCTTAAGAACCCCCATCCCCACATCCCAGTTTTACCATTTTTTAACTATTTACCTTAAAAAGGGGCAGTAAATAACACTGCAAAAAAGCAATGATGATTTAAACAAGATATTGATGATGCAAAAACAAAAACATAAAATATGCTGTAGTAGCCCCCAAAAAAAAGTACATATGGCTTTGACGTTTTAAAAAAAATTTAAAACAATGGGTTTGTAAAAATTTTGGAAAAAAAAAAAAAGGTAACAGCCCTGTGTGTTTCACTGTGCCTTTTTCCATAATTGGGATGTATTACAAACCCTACCAAAATGACAATTTTATGTTGATTTAAAAAATACAAATGGTTAAGCTGCCCTTTAAACTTTGGTTTTATCCCTGTAAGGGAATAAATTTATATTTAATCAGAACCTTTTTTGCACAGTAAAAAAACATTGTTAAATAAACAAGTTGTAAGAATTTTTAAAAAAATTGATGTATTAAATTTTTTAAGGGAAACAAAAAACCCCAATCCACAATAAATTAAGTAAAAGTTTTCGGCTAAAGTAATTTGGAGTAAATTCATGCTTTTTAACCCCCAAAAAACACAAACTACAAAAAAACACAATCAAATACACAAGAATGTAAAAAAACGCTGTAGTAACATTCAAAATGCGAAAAAGAAATACAGATTAAAAAAAATTATATAAAATTTCTGTAAATTTCTAACAGGGAAAAAAGCACAAAGGGAAAAATTCATAAAATTTTTACATTTAAATTTTTTAGTGCCAACCCCGGAACTCCTTTTCAAAATAAATCTTGCTCTGATACTACAGGATAGCATGACCAAATTTCCCAAAGACTTAACTCCATTCATCCCCTTCTCTTTCCCTTTCTTCTATCAAAAAGATTAGCAACATTATAATCAAAAAGGGAATTTTAATACTTTTTCAAGGTTTTTCTGCCTTTAACCCTTTTTACTGTTTTCAGCCATATATAAAAGGGGCCAATGTGGAGGCCCATATTGAGGGGAATGGGTCTTGTGGTCAGTGTATAAAAAAAAATCCTGCAGCATGCAGTACATTAAAGAGGAAAAAAAAAAAGACCGTGTTTTTTTTTTTTAAAAACAAACCCAATTTGAGGTGTTAAAATTTTTGGGTTTGTTTTATGGTTATTTTTTCGTTTTATTGGTTTTCATTTGTCAGAATGGAAGACAAAAAAATAGAGATGATTTTGAATTTGGGTTTTACTAAGAAAAGGAAACCCTTTAAATGTAGGGGAAATTTTTTTAGAATTTTGCTGATGTTTAAGAGTAAACAAAAGACACATTGTCCAATAAATGTCCAAAATAGCCATTTAAATTTCAGCCAGAATGGGGGTTTAAAATTTTTCACAATTATTACCCAAAATGCAGGTTTTGCATAAAAAGGGAAATCTTCTATTTTTTTTGTGAATAAAAAATTTTTTAAAATAGAAAGCAAAAAAGTAAAAAATTAAAAGGGCCCGGAGAAAGTGTGGGTGAAAAATTTTCAAATGTTTTTTTTAGTGCCCGGATTTTTGCATTGTTATTTTAGACCATACATGTATTTTGAAATTGGGGATATTTTTTTAAATTTTCATGAAAAATTGGGGAAAATTGCCAAAATTTTTGACCACTTTATTGGGTAGTTGAAATGTAAATTTCCAAATTTTTTGGTTTTCTTTTTAAACCCCGGGGAAAAGATTCTCTATCATTTCATAAGAAAAAATTTTTTTTCTTTTTTTTTAAAAATTTTTCAACCCAGAAAATCTTGGATTTGGGGGGTTTTGACAGTCAAGGGGGTTTTAAAAAAAAATTTTTTAAAGAATAAAAAAGTAGAATTTAAAAGGGAGGTGGAAAAAATTTTTTAATGAATTATTTTTTGAATTAAAAATTTTTCGGGTTTAATTTATCTCCATGGGACAATTTTATAAACCACAATTTTCTTCAGAGAAATTGAAATTTTTACTGAGAGAAACTTTACACTGATGAATTTTCCCTTTCAACAGCTTTTACGGAAAAAGTTTCAGGCCGGGAAACTTGTACTTTGATTACAAAAGTATGAGAGAAGGGAGGCTACATACTTTAATAGGCTTTGGAAGTGAGGGAAAAGGGTGGGGGTAAAAAACCTTTTTATCTCGAAAGAATTTCGTTTGGGTTTTTTCTCACACCCGCCCCCAAAAAGGGCCGGTTTTTTCGGGGGCTTGCCTCTGGCAAAGTGCTGGGGCCAAAATACCCCAAACCAAAACCCGGTTTTTTCTGGCACCTTTGGAAAAACTTTTTTAAGGTTCCCCTTGAAGGCCTCTAAAAGTTATTCAGGGAGGGTCTTTGGTATTACTGGTTTTTAAAAATTTAAAAAATTCCCGGGACCATGGATGTTTTATACAAATTTTTTTTTTATTGTGTCCTTTACCCCTGCCCTTTTCCGGGGTTTATTTTTCATTTCTTCCATTTTGTCTCCCTCGACATGCAAATTTGTCACAAGTAATTTTTGAGCTAGGCCCTTTAAATACCTTCTTAATTTCAATATATATTATTGCATTCTCTATGTCTTTTTCCCCTACTCCCCAAAATACAATTTTTTTGTTTAGCAGTGTTCCCAAAAAAATTTTTAAAAACATTATTGGCCCTTTAAGCAGAAAATAAATAATCTACTTATTTTATTCCCGGCTGTCTCTCTCCCGTCCTGACAGAGCAGCAAAACAGAGCAGTAAATGTCAGCAAGATATTCCTGGCTTTCCAAAACTGTCACCCTGGGGATTATTTCCCTTTTTTTTTAAGATTCTCATCCACCTTGTCATTTTTTCCCGCCTTCCAGACATTTTCATTAGTGTTCTTTAAGAGACATTTAGCTGACAATTTTTTCAACCTGGGGGCCTTTACTTTTTCCTTTCCCTCCCATTTAGTGATCCCTTGAATTGCTATAAGTTGAGTTCCCTTCTAAAGTATAAGCCCGCAGAATTTCTACATTCAAAAAAACCAGCCATATTCCCCACCAAGGCAGGGTGGGCCCCAAAAAAAAAAACAAAAGTTTATCTTTTTAAAAATTTTGTAATTTTTACCGGAGGGGTTACAAACCCCTTGCTCCCGGGCCTTTTAGGGCACCTCTTTAAAAACCTTTGGGTTTCGGAGGGGGAAAAATTCTGTTCCACATCTCCCGGAGATAAGAGGAAAAAAACAATAACAAGAACCCCAGAAAAAAAACAGAAAAAAAACCCAGAGGGGGGGACCAAACTTTCTTTTTAACCCCCCGGCCCTATCCCCCCCGGGCCCGGGGGGGCTCAAAAAGGGAAAAAAGAAAAATTTCTCCTTTCGCATTTAGCAAAAATTTTTAGAAAAGGGTTACTAGCCCCTTGCCCGGCAATTTTTAGTCGCCTCTTATAACACGCATGGCTTACGGAGGAAGAATTCTGTTCCACTTCCCCATAGAGGTAAGAGGAAATAAACAAGAACAAGAACTAGAAAGAAGATATGTGTAGTGTGACCTAAGTGTAAGTAGAAGTAGCAAGACGTACCTGAAATCTTGCATGTTCACGAGACAGAAAAAAAAAGACACCAGCAATCCCACCGTCATGTAAAACAATTACAGGCTTCCGTTTCACACTCTCTTGCCAGGACGGTAGTACCTCCCTGGGCAGTTGCTGGCTACTGACCTACTACTTAGGTAGCTAGAACTTGTCACCATTTAATGCTATGGTGTTCTCCACTACACAGTGGAAGGCTTTGCTTTTATCTTCCTGCAATTTTTCAATCTTCTATTGGGGTGATCTTCAAGCTTACTATCTGTGAATGATACAAAAGTGTGCTAAGTGTTTTTATGCATGTCTGCTATGAAGATGAGAAACAGTAAAGGCACCAAGATAGTGTCCTGGGGTTTTGATGTTTTTTTAGTATGCAATGTTAGATTTTGTCGTGTTGACTACTAATCCATGTTTTATTTGTCAGAAAGTTGAATATCCATTTGCCTACTGTCGCCAGTTATACATATTACTGTACCTTCATTTATGTACCACTACTCCATGGTCACATGTCAAAAGCTCTTGTAAAATCCATGTATGCCACATCTGCATTTTAATTTTTTCCAATACCTCCATAATCTTAGTCATAATGGATAAGTAAGGTGTGACATGAATGATATTCCCATTTTAAATTCAGTCTAGTTTGGGTTGTACAGGTTATGCTGTTCCATAAAATTTCTTATGTGGCATCTCCTCACACTTTCTTTGACAATGCTTTACTGCCTCCTTTGTCTGGAGGAGCTATGTCTGCACTTTTAAAGCCCTCAGATTTCACACAGATCTAAGCTCTTTCTATAAAGGATACAGAGTACACATATTAGTGGTATTCTGCACTTCTTTATTGACAAAGAACTCCATGAATATGGTCTAGATGTTGCATAAGCAGGAATGTTTTCTATTTCTCTTTTCGAATTCCATGGGATTAGGATTTATGTCAGTTATACAATCTGTGGGGCCTCAGAGATATTGAAAAATTTCTGCATTTTCCATTCTGCACTGGTTTATTGGATTACTGAACAGTGAATTTTGCTCATTTCTTTTTCACTGTTAATGTGACTGACATTCACAATTCTACAGATACTAGTTCTTAACTTGGATTTTGCATAATTAAAATATCTGAGGTTTCTCGCAATAACCTGGACAGCTTTTTGTTCCCTTTGTGCTTCTTCCATCTAGTGGAAAAAGCTTAAGTTTTTGTTCTACCTTAGTAATCTCTTTGCTCATATTCTCTCTCCTTCATTGCAACATTCAAGTTTTTAAGCAGTTTGGCAACTCATTTTTTTTTCTGTACAATCAGTTATGCTTGTCCTGCATTTGGTACAATACATATTTCATGCAGACCTTGTAAACCTTTATATTCAGCTTTTCCAAGCACTGGTGAGGGTTTAGCAAGTTCATGACTTTCCCAGGGTATGTCTGACATTTCTTTGACTATTTTGTTCCCAGTCCTCAAATTATTTTAAATTTACCTCTTCTTGCACACTATTTCTGGAATTCTCCACCCCTGTATTTATACTCGTTTGTGCTTCTGCAATATTGTGATCAGATTATATTGGATGTGCGACTGTTATTGTCCCTGATCAGAGTCTCATTGGTAAATATCATTTCTAGTGGGCTCTATTATCTACTGGTTCAAAAACTTTTCACAAAGCCCAATTATTTCCAAGGTAATGGGGTTTAAAGGAGCTATTTCTGATACAATGCAGTCATTTACCAACATCTTTCATAATAGTTAAAAAATACCTATAAAATCTCACATAAATGTGATATTCATTAACCGTCTGTAAATTCTCAGGCTATGATTTTGCCAACTCATTTCAATCACCACATAAAGGGCAGAACATCAAATATATATTGATTCTATGTGATTTATTTGTCCTTGAATAATCTGCCATTCACAACCTGTGATTGCAGTGATTTACATAACCTATACTGATACTCAATGTCTTGCATATTATCCTAGGTCTAGATTCAATGCACTGAATAATTAGAGGCTTTATTCTGTGCCTACACTTGCATAAAATTACAAACTAGGCCCGGTGGTCTGGTGGCTAAAGCTCCCGCTTCACACACGGAGGGCCCGGGTTCGATTCCCGGCGGGTGGAAATTCCGACACGTTTCCTTACACCTATTGTCCTGTTCACCTAGCAGCAAATAGGTACCTGGGTGTTAGTCGACTGGTGTGGGTCCCATCCTGGGGGACAAGATTAAGGACCCCAATGGAAATAAGTTAGACAGTCCTCGATGACGCACTGACTTTCTTGGGTTATCCTGGGTGGCTAACCCTCCGGGGTTAAAAATCCGAACGAAATCTTATCTTATCTTATCTTAACTCCTGAAGAAAAAAAAAATCCTTGAATGACAGAAATAAAAAATAACTAAATAATGCTATAAGACCTAGATAATAGGTTGGTAGACAGCAACCACCCAGGGAGATACTACCATCCTGCCAAGCGAGTGTGAAACAAACCTTTAATTGTTTTACATGATAGGATTGCTGGTGCATCTCAAATATGCAAGATAACAGGTATATCTTACTACATCTACTTACACTTAGATCACATTACACATGCATGTACATGCATACATATTTACATATCCATCTGGGTTTTCTTCTATTTTCTTAATAGTTCTTGCTCTTCTTTATTTCCTCTCATCTTCTTAGGAAAGTGGAGAATTCTTCCTCCGTAAGCCATGTGTGTCTTAAGGGGCAACTAAAATGCCAGGAGCAAGGGGCTAGTAACCCCTTCTCCTGTATAAATTACTAAATTATACAAGAATTTTATTTTTATGTTACCCTGCTTTGATGGGATACAGCCAGTTCATTAAAAAGAAAAAAAAATTCTACAAGATCACAAAGTGACAACCGTAAGATAAAACTTTTGCCTTTGACATCCTGCATCTACCATTATTACTACTACTATTTTGCCCCTACACATAGCCTGTATTCACTTTTACTTCTTGTGCATTCATAGTGATTAAGGACCCAGGGCTGAAGCATTTTCAACAAAGGTGTCCCAAGCTTATGCATTTGTGTCCATTTTCCTTAAAGTTGGTGCTAGTCATTTGCCTTCTGATTGAATTCTGATCAAATTTTCAATAGTTTACAATGTGGTGAATCATTACTACTGTATTTCATATGCAATCTAAGTTAAATAAGTTGAAAATTTAGACAACTACTGCACTTATAATTTTCCCCTATACCCATTTTCTACCATGTGAATTTTTTTTTATGCTGCCAAAAGGTCTGTAAAATATCACACTGTTGAAGTTGACAATCATTCTCATGCCCAGTTTCATATAACAACTCTGTTGTATCATTAGCAAGATTATATAATAAAAGTTGAATAGTTATTTTTTTTTTTTTTTTTTAGAAATTTCAATTAAAAAAAATTAACTCTGAACATTCTCAGAATTATTGAAAACACTCCTGCCTTGTAGTGTTCTTCCTGTTTAGGTTAGAAATATTGTACAGTATGCAAGACAGATGAGCAGAATTATAAGTGTGTGGTTGCCTTTCAGAAAAAAATTATCAAATAGTATGTGTATTACAAGTACATAATGTACTATAATTCTGCTCCTGTGAAATGAAGTAAATAAATAGATAACCATGACCCCGAAGCATGCTTGCTGCAACTAAGTGCCTCGTGCTGCTACTGCTTGCAAAACTTCACCGCAGATCAATACCTGGATGGAGAGCCACGTAAAGACCTTCTGACCCAAGAATTTCTGCGGCTAAAATTACTAGGGGGTAGAGAATGTGGGGGGCTTCTGATGCTGCCGTCCAAGTCATCACTGTCATGGAATGAAACACTGGTTTATTCTTGTGTAACTGTTTACATATCATAGGTACCATATTTTCCTGTATATAAAGCACACCCCAATTTAGGCAGGCAAATTCTTGGGAATAAATGCAGTGTACTTTATTTAAAATCATAAGTGAGACAGTAGGTGGTTGCTCATGGGCACAGTAGCTGAAAGAGATGGGACCCTGCACAGCTTGTCATCGGCTCTACTACCACCAACACCAAAATGATTATGAGTACCTGTTAGAAATGGCTGCATAATTAGTTACATCGGCTGAAGCTGGTTTTAATATTCCATGTAGGTAATATATAAATTATTATTTATAATAATTACTAATCACAAGTTTTAAGGGAAACATTTTCAAAGGGGGAGTGTCTGGAGTTTAGTTTACCGATACTGCAGCACTGAGACTACCACTTGCCAGTAACCCAGAGCCAGCCTTTGTTCCTCACCTTGAGCATACAAGGCACAAGGTGATTTTGAGACTTTTGGAAAAAAAAGAAAAGGTGCATCTTATATGCTGGAAAATATGGTATATATCATGTACATTATGTTAAATACTGCTAGAATGTTACTGCACTAAATAGGCATCAAGAACTGACTGTATGTGTAGCATAATTATAACTAGTGTACTTACCTTTCACATGGAAAAAAAAAAATCACCTTTTTTATAAAATTCCAGTTTAATGCTGACTTAATGCATTTATTACATATATACAGTGGACCCCTGGTTTACGATATTATTTCATTCCAGAAATATGTTCAGGTGCCAGTACTTAACGAATTTGTTCCCATAAGGAATATTGTGAATTACATTAGTCCATTTCAGACCCCCAAACATACACATACAAACGCACTTACATAAATACACTTACATAATTGGTAGCATTGGGAGCTGATCGTAAAGCGGGGTCCACTGTATTATATAGTCTCACATTCATGATTTAAATTACAGTAATTGCTTTAGTCATTCACTGGAAATAACTGTTTTTCAGTTAAATTTCTATATATGGAACTATTAAAGATTATGAAGCAATAAAATTCAATAGTGCACTACTGTACATTATTCCCAGCAAACAAGTACACTCGCACACCAATATTTTTTTTTATTCTGCAGCTCTAAATACTGCTGGCTAAATCTTTTATGTAAAGCACTGTATATACTAATTAGATATGGCAAGTTCTAAATTATTATTTTTCATTAAGAATAATATAAACTAAAATTGTACATTTTACTATACAGTTTTGAGACTTTATTGGACAAACTTACCCCATCCTGGCTGAGTCAGAGTCACACTCAATATCATCAGCTTCACCATAACACTCAAAGTTTTCTTCTTCCCGATCACTCATACTTGAGCAGCCACTGTAAAATATATGCCAGTTATTGTAGCATCTTTAAAATGGCATATTGTAACATTTTTAAATTGTAATGATGAAGACATGTGCAACAGTTGGATATCTTTATTTTTGGAACATTTTGCCTACACAGTAGGCTTCTTCAGTCAGATACAGAGGCAGTAGTTGTAGTAGGGAAACAAAGGTTAATGGACTAATTACATCTATATTTCACTGCTACACTTGCTGCCCCTATTCGACTGAAGAAGCCTACCGTGTAGGCAAAACATTTAAAAAATCATCAACTTGTCGGTATTTTATACCATTTTCAACATAATGACACTGTAGCCCAAAGCATGAAACACTAGTTCCATTCTGAAATTTGACTGTTTCAACAACTGACACCTACAGTAGGCATCAAAAATATGCCCATGCATAAACAGATTACAGTGGTACCTTGATTTATGAGTGCCAAGTTACGAGTTTTCAAAGTTACGAGCCGTTGCTCAGTTGATTTTTTTGCTCTGAGTTGCAAGCCAAAATCAGAGTTACGAGCGAGCTCCAGATACGCCACCACTTACAGGAGATACCAAGGAAATATCAAAAACATCGATAATAACCAACGTGTAACATCCTTTCAATTTTGATACCACTGGTAGTGTCATCCTGCCAGAATGTTCTATAAAGTATGCCCTAAGTAAAGAGAAACAATTCAGGAATGTGTAATACATGTTTGGCAGGCCGGCTGGTTAGGTGGCCAGCTGGCTGGCCTGCTGGTTTGCTTTGGCTGTCTCTATCCCTTTCTGTCTGCCTGTCTCTGTACCCCTCTGTCTCTCCCTGTATCTCTCTGTATCCACATCTGTGTATCTCTGGATCTGTGTATCTGTCTGTATCTGTGTATCTGTTAGTTAGTTTTAGTTTAAGTTACATTCACTTGTTAGACGAAGAATGAGGGGAGACCTGATCGAAGTGTATAAGTGGAAGATAGGTATTAACAAAGGGGATATTAATAAGGTCTTGAGGATATCTCTCCAAGAGAGAACCCGCAGTAATGGATTTAAATTAGATAAATTTAAATTTAGAAAGGACACAGGAAAGTATTGGTTTGGAAATAGGGTAGTTGATGAGTGGAACAGTCTACCTAGTTGGGTTATTGAGGCTAGGACTTTGGGTAGTTTCAAATTTAGGTTGGACAAGTACATGAGTGGGAGGGGTTGGATTTGAGTGGGACTTGCACATCAGAGCTTATTTCTTGGGTAGCATTGAAAATTGGGTTGGTCAAATGTTTTGTTAGTGGGATGGATTGTAAGGGACCTGCCTAGTATGGGCCAACAGGCCTCCTGCAGTGTTCCTCCTTTCTTATGTTCTTATGTTTAATATATTTATTATGCACCCCATACCAATCCTGTGGGCGGTAGTCAAAAGATTACAGAGGTACATAATGGGTCCAAGGACTGGGCCTCAAAGTTTTGATAGCTGAGCAAGTTACAAAGGTAATGAACTCACAATTTACAAAGGTAATGAACTCCAGGTAGGTCTGGTCACAATCATGACAAGTTACAAATGTATTTACAGATTACAGAGGTACGTAATAGGTCCAGGGACTGGGCCCCCAAAGTTTTGATAGCTGAACTAGGTACAAAGGTAATGAACTCTGTGCAGACACATTCATCACCTTCAAAACTACTGTTAGAAAACATCTTATCTCCCTGATACACCCCATCAACTAACTACATAAAAACCACCTGGTGGTCCACACTTACACTCACTAACTCACCCATTTGACTATAAGCACAGAAATACGTGTCATAATCTTAAAATAATGATTCCTAACTAGTCATAAGTTTGCCTGTGATACTCCAATATAGAAACTATGTATTGTGCCAAAACAAAAGCATTCACATTGCTAAACTCGCAAACTAGTATTTGTCACTTAGTATTTAGTTAACTTACTCCACAATTTGTTATAATTTAGGGTTAAGAATTAATCTAAGTTTGCCCGAAATGCCTAGCCATGCTAGGTGTTCTAGTGGCCCCCTCTGTAATTAGTATTTTACTACATGTAAACCACACAATAACCAAAATCTGTAAACCCCGCATTGTAATCCTTATAGAGAAGGAACTTTGATTTGATTTGATTTGATTTGTGCCTATCTCTGTATCTGTGCCTCTCTGTATCTGTGCCTGTCTCTCTGTATCTGTGCCCATCTCTCTGTATCTATCTATATCTACCTCTGTCTATATATCTCTATATAAAAGCAAGAGATTTGGCAGATGGTGCAGGGGCATAAGAGCTTGATAAATGTTGGAGATCCCTGACTTTTCAATGCCCTCCCCCTTTGTGCAAGAGAAATTACCAACAAACTATCTCTCTACATATCTCTACACATCCCTGTATCTGTATCTCTCTCTCTCTCTCTCTCTCTCTCTCTCTCTCTCTCTCTCTCTGTATCTCTCTCTCTCTCTGTATCTCCCTATCTCCCTATCTCCCTATCTCCCTATCTCCCTATCTCCGTATCTCCCTATCTCCGTATCTCCCTATCTCCGTATCTCCCTATCTCCGTATCTCCCTATCTCCGTATCTCCCTATCTCCGTATCTCCCTATCTCCGTATCTCCCTATCTCCGTATCTCCCTATCTCCGTATCTCCCTATCTCTGTATCTCCCTATCTCTGTATCTCCCTATCTCTGTATCTCCCTATCTCTGTATCTCTATGTATCTTTATGTATCTCTATGCATCTATGTCTCTCTCTCTCTCTCTCTCTCTCTCTCTCTCTCTCTCTCTCTCTCTGTATATTGTTTCTGTGTCTCTCTCTCTATATATATATGTCTCTATCTGTATCTGTGTGTGTGTCCGTGTTTCTCTCTCTCAAGTACACAAAAATCAGTTACACATAGTATAAATTACCTAGGATAACCCAAAAAATATCCAGACAAAGTGCTATACTATGCTTGTAGATATAAGGCATAATAAGCATGAAGTAGAGAGGCAGGAAGACAAACATAGGCCGACAAAGACATAAGCAGAGACAGATAAACAGAGCTAGACAAACAGAAACAGAAACAGACAGATACAGACATATTTATGTGTAACAGTGAAAAATAAAGCCAAGGCAGTGCACGATCATAAACTGTCACTCCACTGCTGCACTGTCAGCACTGGAGTGACACTCGTCTTACACCGTGCTTCAAGGAGTGTCATATATACTCCAGCATTTCTAAAACATTCCTGGGATTTGACGAAAAGGGCAAAAATCATTTATTTATAAATACATTTTCCTTGTTTAAAAACCTGTAGCAAAAAAAATGGGGTGTTTTTTGGGGGGATGGAATGGATTAATGGCATTTCAATTAACTTCAATGAGGAAAATTGATTTGATATATAAGCAAAATGAGTTAGGAGCTGCGTCAAGGAACAAATTAAACTCTAAAGTCAAGGCGCCATTGTATACAGAAAACAAGACTGCTTATCATAACCTATTCTTTTAAATGCTTGATACGGTAAACCCTTGATATAATGGACTAATAGGGGCAGTGTTGAAGTGTCCGTTAAATCAGAATGTTAAAGTAGCAATGAAGTGCACTACAGTACTCTACTTTACATTCTAAATATATTACTGTACACACAATTTACAGTTATAATGCAAAAAAAACATTGAAAATAAAGAACTTAAAAGCACAATATAGCTAGTGGATTGTGCCCATAATTTTACAAGTCCATTATATCAGGGTCTGTTAAATCAGAATGTCACAAAATTATAAAAAGTACAATAAAGTACTGTAGTGCATACTTACTAAAGTGCTATAAACAATTTACAGATATATTGCAATAAACTTTGAAAATAGTTAAAAATACAATTTGAATTTTGCCAACAATTTGAGGGTTTACTGTATGTCGTCCCTCACCTAAATTAGTATTTCACAGGTTTACCCTCCCTCTTGATGCACTCTGACTCCTAGGCACTGATAAGGCTAACTTATGGAGAACAGAAAAGATAATACCTTCTCACACCTCCTCAAAAGCACTAGATATTCCGGGGCTAGAAGACATGTCACTGCCACAAAGAATTCACTTGATAAACTTTGAAATGTTCTTTATTGAGCTTTAGTTCACTGAGTTTCTAGGTCAGTCGTTACGAATACGAAAAAATTACAATAAGCTAATTATTAATGCCTTTACCAGTATGGAAAGAGGCACCGTCTTCCCTGTAAAAGTTGCCTGAGCTCTTCTCGAATCTTTCAGTCTGTAGTTGTCAATTGATGAAACAAAAACCCCAAAAATGTTCAAATCACAAGATTCATACAATGGATATAATGTAATACAGAGTTACATTTTTAGTTTAATACTTACTGTCTATATTGCACTGTAGTCCAAATCTGTATCGAATGTGACTCACAAAAAATATAATAATGTCATATTTTCATTTTCACTCAACATGCCAGATAATATACTTTAATGTGAATATACTGTAAGCGAGCTATTCAGCACTTGTTTTACTCTATCACCTGTTGTTACACAGGTGATACAGTATTTTCATCAGCAGTGCTAGTAATAAGTTGCTGCTTAACAAAAAATAAAAAAAAAATATAGGACATAAATAATAATAATAATAATAATAGTCGGAGTGTTATTTAGTTATTAATTAAAAAAAAAAGAGGAAGAAATTAACAGACGAAGGCAAGACCAAGGATGAGGCAAATGACAATGTGATACCCTGACATTCGGCAAGCACCCTGTGATCAGCAAGTGTTTGTACTCTCCTACCTAGACTCCTAGAGTCTACCTGGAGTGTGTTCCACAAGTCAATGGCCTCGCAGGCCAGTCCCAGACTAGGCCTCCTGGTGGATGGACTGATCAACCAGGTTGTTGGTGCAATTCACACCAAATCCAACAAACATCACAGCCTGGCTGATTAGGCGCTGACTTGAACTTTTCCAATTATTTCTTGAAGACAGTCAGGGGTCTGTTCAGAATCTCCCTTATATATGATGGAAGGATGCTGAAAAGTCTTGGTCCCTTCATACTGAGTTTTCCTTTAGTGTACTGTACTCGCTGCACCCCTGATTTTCATTGGGGGGGGAGGGGCAGTGAGAACATTTTCCACCGTCTACCAAGCCTCTTACTTTCATTGCGAAAGATTTGCATGTGCAGATTTGGGATTAGTCTTTCTAGAATTTTCAAGGTGTGTAGATTATATTACATCACTCTTGCCTATACAAGCAGTGAAGGTTCTCTGCACATTCTCCACATCTACAATTTTGCCTGCCTTGAACAAAGCTGTTAGAGTACAGCAGTACTCCAGCCTAGAGAACAAGTTAATTGATTTGAAGGTTCTAGTTACCCAGCCTATCATTTTCCTTGCAGTTGTGATAGTGACACTGTCGTGATCCTTGAAAGTAAGATTTTCTGACATGGTCACTCCGAAGTCTCTTACATAAATTGTATGCTCTACTGATTGATTCTAGTTTGATTCCAGTCTATTTCCTCACTCTTTCCATGACGAAGCAGCTAAAACTTGTCCTCGTTGAGCATATTGTTGTCAGTGGCCCTTGGAAGTAATTCCACCTAACAGTGAAATGCAATGATAGACGTGAACATTTGACAGTGGAAATTAGAATCGGCAAGCAGGGAAAAATTCTGTGCAGGAGGTAAACCTGGTCAACCCGAGACCAATTACAAAGACAAAACTTGCAGCAAAATATAGCACATTACAGTAGAACTAATTAGGCAGTCAGTTCTGTGGAAATGGAGCCACATAAATGATAGTACGGCAGCATTTGTGAAGGTAGGGACCAGTAATGATGCTGGAAGCTGCAGGAAGAACTCAGTACTCAAAGATGCTACATCTTCCTGCATATTTTGAGCAGTAACTCTAAAAGCGGGTATAAATCAGAGTTTTACATGGGACATAGAAAACAATGCGATGTTCAAGGGCAAATTTCAGTTGCTCTATGAAAAAAATTAATTTAAAACTGGAACAGATGATGTGAAGTTAATGAGGAGAATTAAATTAGATGAGGACCAGGCAGGACTACAAAGACCTGGGCAGGCTGGATGCGTAGCCCAACAATTGGCTCCTCGAATTTAACCCCGCCAAATGCAAAGTCATGAAGATCGGGGAAGGGCAAAGAAGACCGCAGACAGAGTATAGGCTAGGTGGCCAAAGATTGCAAACCTCACTCAAGGAAAAAAGATCTTGGGACGAGTATAAAACCGAGCACATCTCCTGAAGTGCACATCAACAAGATACCTCAGTAAGGAATCGTTCAAGACACTGTACACCGTGTACGTCAGGCCCATACTGGAGTATGTAGCACCAGTTTGGAACCCACACCTGGTCAAGCACGTCAAAAAATTAGAGAAAATAAAGGTTTGCAACAAGGCTAGGTCCAAAGCTAAGGGGAATGTCCTACGAAGAAAGGTTAAGGGAAATCGGTCTGACGACACTGGAGGACAGGAGGGTTAGGGGAGACATGATAACGACATACAAAATACTTGGAGGAATAGATAAGATGGGTAGAGACAGGATGTTCCTGAGATGGGGCACAGAAACAAGGGGTCACAATTGGAAGTTGAAGACTCAGACGAGTCAAAGGGATGTTAGGAAGTATTTCTTCAGAGTTGTCAAGAAGTGACATAGTCTAGCAAGCGATGTAGTGGAGGCAGGAACCATACAAGGTATGATAAAGCTCATGGAGCAGGGAAAGAGAGGACCTAATAGCGATCAGTGAAGAGGCGGGGCCAGGAGCCGAGTCTCGACCCCTGCAACCACAAATAGGTGAGTACACACACATATACACACACAGTACATCGGTGCTGTGCACTGTGAACTACGATATGAAAATGGAGTAATGGCCGTGCTTACCTGTGAGTCTTCCTGGTGGAGTCAGGGGAGGCAGTACTACCTCCTAGTGCGGAGTCGAAGTCAGTAAGGGATGAAGGGGACCCGCGCTCGTCACCTGGCATTCTTTCCACACCCAAGGTTATTGGACTAGCACACGAGGCTATCACGTAGCCGTACTTTCTTCGACGACCCACACCACGCTCCTGATGAACCAACACCTAGTTAACCAATGTTGTGATACCTCAATAAGATCACAGTAAACAGGTGATTTTAAAATATGCAAAACAACAGCTGTGAAATAGTGAAATTCCAAGCGCTTTCGTGACTTCTCACATTGTCAAGGAACTATAGTTCCTTGACAATGTGAGTAGTCACGAAAGCGCTTGGAATTTCACTCCTCTTTTCACAGTGGTTGTTTTGCATGCATGCATATATATATATATATATATATATATATATATATAATATATATTATATATATATATATATATATTATAATATATATATATATATTATGCAAAACAAACCACGGGAATGGAAATCTTAACCTTATCTTTCACATACTGCACTGCTCATGACTAAGCACAAATGTTGCTAGACCAGTAACCAATAAGTTGCGGGCAAAGTTCTCTCAGAGGTAAGGTAGCATGTGCTGAGGTGGCTTATTCTGCCAGTATCAACACGCACTACTTTACCTCAAGAAGAACTCTGCCCTCAACTTATCAGTTGAAAGTCTCGCAATACTGCACAGCTCCTGACGAAACGTGTGAAAGATCCTGAGGTAAAGATTTGTCCCCCCGTGGTTCGTTTTGCATTATTAAGATCACCTGTTTGCGACTGTATTGCACACACTAATAAATATATAAATAAATAATGTGTATATAACACACACACACACACACACACACACGTGTGTGTGGAAATTTTTTACATAATTTCCTAAATGTAGAACATATAAATGAATATATAATAATTGTGTAATATGATGCTGATTTGACCCTTTTGAGAAATTTCGAATGGGGGGGGGGATAGAAAAGCTGAAGAGTGTGTCATCTGTAGGACCCATCTCGTCTAAATAGGGGCCCAATACTGAATGTTGTTCTCCACTTAGATTTGGCATAAGAAAATAAATATTTTTATTGTTTTTTTTTTTCAATTTCGTTTATAGCTTTCAGTTCTTGGGTTTCTTGACTCCTCTAAAATCCCTTTAGCTTAAGTTCGATGTTTGCTATTTCTCTGACCAGTGACTCCTTTCGTATTACAGATATATTGGCCTCTTTTAGTCGCTCTGTTATTCTTCACCTTCGACTGTATAAGGAGCGCATCTCTTTCTAATTTGCATCTTCTCTCCCTTTTCCTTAAAGAAATATGCCTTGAGCATACCTCGAGTGCCATAGCGTTAATTTGTTCTAGACATGTTTGGATCCGTGTTGCTTAGGATATCTTCACAGTTTATATCATTTAGGACCTGGTCCCACCTTATGTTTTTGCTACTGAAGTGAATTTGGTGAAGACTTCCTCGTGAATGATCACAATTTGTTGGTTTTGGGCTCCGCGCATACATGTCTGAACCTCTTATGTTGTGATATGAGCATATTGTTTTTGATGTAGCAATATTTCGTGTCAGATCATCATTGTTAGTGAAGAAGAGGTCGTCCAGTGTATATAATATCGTGCCGAATACGTAAAACTTGCTATTTTGGCTTAAATATCAACGCTCTTGCCGAAAAGGCAAGCGAAAATTTGTGTATGCAATAATTTAGCATAAATCATTCTGAACCTAACGAAAAAAAATATTTTTCATTGTGTTTATCACTAAATTACTGTAAACTTATCTAAAATATATTTAGCTGGATTAGGATAAATTAAATTGAGTTTGTATAATAAGGTTAGGTAAGTTTTCTAAGGTTCTTTTGGTAAAAAAAAGTATTAATTTTTACATTACAAATGAAAAAAAAATATATACATCTTTAAACGTGTAAGAGAAATTTTTTTTTGAAAGGACTTAATTTTAAACGAGGTTTTGTGTGCGAGGGGCTTGGACTTCCAGCAGGCATGCATGAGCGTGTTTGATAGGAGTGAATGGAGACAAATGGTTTTTAATACTTGACGTACTGTTGGAGTGTGAGCAAAGTAACATTTATGAAGGGGTTCAGGGAAACCGGCAGGCCGGACTTGAGTCCTGGAGATGGGAAGTACAGTGCCTGCACTCTGAAGGAGGGGTGTTAATGTTGCAGTTTAAAAACTGTAGTGTAAAGCACCCTTCTGGCAAGACAGTGATGGAGTGAATGATGGTGAAAGTTTTTCTTTTTCGGGCCACCCTGCCTTGGTGGGAATCGGCCAGTGTGAAAATAAAAAAAAAATTATATATATATATATATATATATATATATATATATATATATATATATATATATATATATATATATATATATATATAATGTATGTATCATGTATGTATGTATGTATGTATGTATGTATGTATGTGTGTGTGTGTGTGTGTGTGTGTGTGTGTGTGTGTGTGTGTGTGTGTGTAACTAAAATAATGTTTAACGTAAGTGTTGCTTGTGAAGGCAAGAGGGGTAAATATAGCTTATACCCCAAACCTTTAAAAGTCTTTGTTCCAAGTAGGTGCATAGCGTAGTTGTGTTGAAAAAAGTATTAGGTGGAGGATGATTAGCAGGAACAGGAGGAAGAGAAAGATGAAGAGGAAGATGAGGAAGATGAAGAGGAAGATGAGGAAGAGGAGGAGGAGGAGGAGGAGGAGGAGGAGGTGGTTAGGGAGATGAGAGAGTTGGGGAGGAATGGTGGAGGGGAAGAAGGCTGGAGGGAGGTTGGTGGTGGTGGCGTGGAGAACCAGAGGGAAAAACTACCTTACTTTCGTCACAATTCCACTAACTTACACAGTTTACCTGACTGCACTTCACATAACTTTCAATGTATTTAAAAATATAAAACACATTTTAGAAAGGCTCGTGTGGTACAGACAGTTATTCGGGATCTGTAGCACTAACCATTGTACGAGTTTCATTAAAATAAGAACGACTTGATAAATTCAGACATTTTCACTAAAGCACATATCAAATCCACTATAATGCGCGCAACAATTAATTATCACAAATGCTGTTATCACAGGAGATTACGGTAAGGATGGCACAATAATATCATTACCACAAACTTCAACGAGTGCAAGGTATACAGATTTTCCGAAGCACGAGCAGTTCTGCCTAATATATGCGAGCGCATTCGTGTTGTTGATCTCTGCGAGCGTCGGAGAATTACACCATGCATCTTAGTGGAAACAAGGGCGCACAAAGCTGCCCCAGAAAGACGGCGGTGTGGAAGAGCTGAATGGGGAAAGCGGGAAGAGGAAAACTAAGAGAAGCTGCAAGCCCAGATTATTATTAATTGGGAAACTTTAAACCTGTACGGGTCAAATAGTACCTGGGAAATGGGAGATAATGTGGATTAAATAGAGGAAAGGGAGGGTGGTTCCAGATCCTTGGAAAGCCCCAAACTATTACATTATAATAAGCAAGTCTTCCGATGAACGAAAAAAAAAAATCAAAGCTGAAACCCGCTAACACAAACAATGGCCCCGTCCACCTTCACGAGTGACACTAAAGCCGCTATTAGATAGATATTGACACTATTTCAGTACGTACATTTTTATCTAGAGAAATTATGGCATAACGCTTAAATACAATTGTAAATCATGTCTTTTCAGTATTCAGTAATGCAAGCCATCAATGGATTCCACGCACTTTTAGGATCTTTCAGCATTATCCTCTTCAAACTGATCCTCCACTTTACCAACCTACGAAATCTTTCTTCTAGTTTAAAAAAAAAGAAAAGCAAAAAAAAAGTTCCTCCAGTGGCAGAGGTTCAGAATTTTCTTACTTTCATATACATCGGTGCCCCTGCAGTTCTTACTACCTGTAATATACCTAACCAATTTTAAGGGCTTTTCTACCCTACTAGCCTGGCTTTTGGCCAATCTTCCTCGAGTGCCTGTTCAACCAGGTTGTTGCTGGTAGCCAGTTGGCCCAATTGCCATCACAGCCTGGTTGATCTTGCACTTGGCGGAGGTTAACCAGTCCTCGCCAATTATTTGTCGAATTTTTCACATAGTTTTTCTGAAAATTTCTCTATTTACTTTATTTAGGGTGAATTTTCTATTAAAAAATAACCAATTATAGCATACGAGAACGTCAAGAAATTAAATATTACATAAAGGCTAAAAAAAAAGGGGGGGGGGGGTTGAAGAGCGAACAGACAAGGCGGACCCACCGAGCGCACCGTGCAATACAGTTATTCAATTTATTACTAATCAATGAAATAGTGTACTACATTAATTCCGCAATGTTCAGACTGAGTCAGTTATGCAACAACGAATTTACGCATGATTTGTTTGGCAATATAATGGCTGCTGAATAAGCAAATTCGACGTGATTATATGCTATCCAACTTAAGCTGTGCTCATAACACTATCCCAAGACAAAGTTCAGCGTGTCTTCTCTCTCTCTTATAGTAACTCTTGCAAGACTGTTTACCCTGTGGAAATTCCGAGGTCAGGCAAGTACTTGCATGAATTTACCTATCGACTAGCAAAAATCACCTTGAACTGTGAGCGAGGGCGGATGCCGCCGCCGCCGCCCCGTTAACCATGATCCGCACCTCAACAATAACATCCTTAAAACATGTGCTCCATCCACCCAACACTGCAACGGCACTTCAAATTTCCCCTAAGCTGTGGATTGCAGTATGGCTCAGTAACTTTCCTTATTGTTTTCATTACTGTTATTTGTATTTACACCGACGAGTCTATTATATCTGAGATACTTTACGGCCAAGACTCTGATTTCCTCCTAGTCCCCAAGCCCTGCATGATCCTTTTGGGTTTGGCGCTTACCCACCAATGTAATAAAACACGTTTTAAAACTTTTCTGAACATGCTGAAACTATTTTGCATTATCTAATAAGAACTATCCAGTGAACTATTCTATCACACAAACTATCTATTAAACAATAATGTAACTTATTTCAATAAAGCTATTTAAATATTTTATTAAATTATAGTTAGACGCGACAACAAAAAAGGAAGATCATCATCCGAGGAAAGAGCTTTAACCTCTGGGGGTCATAGAGCGCATGAGAAATGGGAGGTAGTCATGTTTGATCCGAGGAAGGGGAAGGTAGCTGCAGTCTTTGATCAAGA